TGTATCCACATACTAACTGTAGCACTTTTCACTTAAACCAAGGGGAGGAAAGCTAGGCGATATCTTCTAAAAAATCTTCTCCTCAAAGTCTAAAGACTAAGAAACACAATGTTAACCATCAGTCAAAAAATGCCCAGGGAGTCTGACTCAGCCTCATCTGCGCTGGCAGATTACTGCATCTCTGATTAAACACAGGCGCCATCTCCTGCGATGTTGAAACTCCATAAAAATCTGTTTTGCTTTCTCCTTCAGAGACACAGAGATCGGCACGGCCTATAAGGAATCAATATTATTTAAATAGGCACATGTTTGAATGTTCTCCTGCAGTGTTGCACAGGAATGATGCCAGAGTCTTTGGACAGATAGAAGGAGCTCCCTGTGTGAGCCAGAGAACTTTGGCATTCACAAAAGAAGGCGCTCTTGCCCCTCCGCCCCCACAGTCTCTGAGTCTATCATGGCTGTCACCCAGCATCAGGGAGTCTAATGGCTGAGGCTTTTTGTGTACAGCATCATGGACTGATAGAGTGAATCCAAGAATGGGTGTAGGCCCAACCATCAAGGAAGCTCTCATGTCACAGAGCCATGAAGAAAACGGAGGGACGTGGGCCAGAGCTTTTTCTCCGCAGGAAGCCATGAGAATTAGATCAGTGTGTCTAATCTGGATAGCGGAAGTCGTCCTGGAGAAAGGGCGCACAACAGCTTTTTCTTAGTGAGTCAGGTTTTACCTTCAATACTGCTCCCTGTCTTCCTCTTAACATTTGGTCGCTGATTGGCCTCAAACCACCTGGATCTGCAGGCCTAATCCATATCTGATCTCTGTGAAATTCAAAGGCAAAGCAGAGTTAAGTTCACTTTTATTATGTTGCTTTCATAAGAGATGCCCACCTGCCCTGTCAGAATGAGCCCTGACCTAAATTCCTCTGAGCTCTCGGCGCTGTTGTTCCTCAGGTTTCTGTGTGCTGCTGAGAGACAGGGATATGAAGGAGCTGATAGCAGGGTGTTGGAAACAGCTTGAAGGCATCAAGGGCTAATTCAGCATGGACTTCTTGAGCATGTCGCTGAGCTGAGGCCTCTGCAACATCTAATCTCCTCTGCAAACCCTCACATGGCCTGCTATAGATACACAAGCAACAAAGCCATGATATGTTCTGGCTTCTTCCACTATGGCGTCACTTTTCTCTGTATTTCAATGTGTTTTTTCCACATACATCACCATTAGAGCTGCAACAAAAGACAGGCTTTGTCTTCACTGGCTTACAACAACTTCAGGGAATTTTTTGCGAGATGCGCCAGTTGCTGCATACTTCACTTCCTCCCACATATTTTCACACTTACTTGTTGCATGGACTTCACTACTAGCAATACAACACTGGGGGCTGATGATGGAGACACTGTGGGCTGCACAGCTGGAATGTACACTATGCTTATTAGCATGTTGTTTAAGCAAGGTGTTAGAAGAGATACACACACCATGTCTGTCTTTAGATAAGGAAGACACTTCAAAATGACACGGTTCCTGTTTACTAGGAGAAATGCTCATGCAGGTTTGAGTTGCAGCTGCAATTCTGAAAGTCTGGAAAGCAGCCAGAGAGGGATGATGACAGGCAGACGGCCTCTCGATGATATCAGCTTCTGCCTTTGCATACCACAAGATATTGGACATGCTTGTGTGACTGCACTTCGTAGTTTATCTGGCCAAGATATAGACTTAAAGAAACAGGTTGAGGCTGGCTCTGAAGAAGAGCAGCGGTTAAAGTCTTCATGAAAATGGTTCTGAGGGAACACAGTTTGATATTTGAGGTAAAGGTTGTTGAAAATTAACTCAAGGCAAGCTTTCAGTCACAACCGCCAAAGCTCTCAGCTAAATGGACCAATAACCTGTATATTTTAAAACCCAGAGGAGAAAGTGCAAACAATGGGTTTGTTCAGAATCCGCTGTTTAACGAAAAAAATACTCTGCTATTGTTTAATCATTGACATGCCTGGTTTCTTGTTTTCCAACAGTGACAAGTAAAAGAAAGAGGGGACAGTGAAGACACACACACAAGTTTACACATGCAAACACACATAAAAAACGCATCCTGTCAGCCGCCTAATTTACTTTATGACTGCTTTTTCACCTGGAGGCTAGCCCCGGGCATAAAAGTGAGTCACACTCAGCAAGAGTTTGGGACAACAAGCCTGACAAAAAAAACAATCCTACCCTTCCCCCCATCAAACTTCAGGAGCCTCCCCCTCCCTGCCTCCCTAAACTCCACTATACCTGGCTACGTAGCACATGTTTACCTCCTAATCCTCTAATAATTCAAACTGCACCTCGCTGCTTTTCTGTTGAACGTCATGGTTTCTGTGCTAACTTTCAATCTATGCCTGGAACACACGGTAGGATTCACTGTCTGTTTCTAAGACTCTTGCAATCTGTCATCGATTTGTTTTCTTTCCCGCCCTTGTGCCCAACTCTCCACTCCCACCAAGAGTGAATCTTCTGACAGGTGCAGGGTGAGAGTTAAACCTGCTTCCTTTAAGCTGCAGTGCAAGAGAAAATAACAAACACCAACAGCAAGTGATCAAGCAACTGGAATAACAAGAACATAACAAACACTCTCTTCTGGGAAGACTTTAATTACTATTACTCAGTAGTAGAGATTAAGTCGATAAAAGACAGTCATGCTAACCAGACTTTAGGGCTGCAACTACATATTAGAGTATCAAGGACTTCTTTTATTTTTTGGTTAAATGTGTAATCTATAATATGTCTGAACAGAAAAATGTCCATCACAATTCCCCGGGGCCACAGATAATAGTTATTAAAGTCTTGTTTTGTCTGGCTGAAATTTCAAAGGCCAAACTATTCCTTACCAACCATGTTCTAAAACAAGATAAAGACAGAAAACCTTCCTATCTAGTGACCTTAAAAAAGGGTTTTTATTCATTTATTTGTATAAAAATAGTAAAAGGTCAATATTAGCATGTAGCATACTACTTAAGAGAGTACAACACTGATTTAGCATTGCACTTTAACATTGACGATTTTAAGATGAACGGTTTAAAAAAAATTAAGTAGCAAAAATCGATGCAGAAGACACTAAATATCGTTTTTATAACACCTTCTCTCATTCTTTGGCAAAATATGGCACCTCCTTTACCCACAATGCAACTTAACATCCAAAAGTTCAGTCAAACTTTATGGTTTGTTTGGCTAGTAGCAGCTAATATTGCATTGATTTGCTAGCCTCAAGCAGCCATGAGTAGCTAGCTCCATTCTTCCAGATTTTTTATTTATTTGTAGTCTTCTGCCCAAACAGACAATGACCCAAGCGACATCACTGGAGCCAAGTAATCAGATCCCACTGAGCTTCCTCTGGATTAACAAAAGCCTTTATACAATTTATTTATCACAAATACAGTCAGAGTCGACAAGCCTTTGATATGTAAAATGTGTGAAATTCCCCTTTAACCTTATACTTTAACAAGGATTCAGAAAACAAATTGCGTAATTCTAATGAACTAATTGAGAAATCCTTACAGGTGTAGCTCTGGTGTAACAGTGCAGGTGCAATCGTGACGGCTCCTCAGACATCTTGTTCGGACACGTCTGGCTCTGTTACTTCATCGAGAGGTATAACTGCCAGACAGCCTGTACAACAAGGACTACAGAAACCAGACACACTTTTCATCAACTGACAAAAATACACATAACATTACAAAGTTGCTCAATGGGAAGTCTGACATTTCTTGGAGTTTTATCAATTTGATCAAAAAGAGATATTCCTTAGTCAAATTTAAAACTTTTTCGCACCCTCATCTTAGGTTTGTGGGATGCTTTGGTGACATGTTGCCCAGGCTGAGACTTGCCCCCTGCATGTCAGGTCAGTAATGCAAACATGTAGATCAAAAACAAGCCACAACCAATCCAAAGTCCTACGAAACCAGAGAGAAAATGTAGCAGTTACAAACTGCTCTGGATTTCCTCGTTGGACCAGTTTCTATGCCATACACAAATAAAACATCTTGTTTCCTGAGAAACCCTAGCCCAGGATACATGAGCGATGAGTAGTTGATGTTTACAGATGCCCCCAGTGGTTAACAGACCCACAAGTCTGTGCAGCTCTTTTCTAACTTGGTAACAAGGCTGAATTATAAAGCTCAGTAGTGTTATCTTGTGTGTCATAAAGTTATGGATCAATGGCAAAGTATAAATAATTATTCATATTTTCATTTCATATTCTATTATGACTCTTTGCAAGATGTGATTTTACAGATTTTCAAAGGTTGAAGGACTATTCTGGCATATCCTTGTGTTTTTTTATACATGCTTTTAATAATGGAAATAACGCTGTTTACTTAAAGGTGAATAAGTGCCAATTTTTGTTTCCTCAAAAAAAATCCATTGAACAACTACATTCTTGAGTTTTATGCTCACTTCAGGTGCTGCGGGAACTTTCAAAACTTGTTGTCAAGTGGATTATGTCAACACAGCTCAGTAAAGAAAAAAAAAGAGCTTTGGCAGTTTCTATCAGAATTGAAATGCTCAAATGTAACTAAATTAATGCAAGAATGCCAGAAAATGTATTTTAGCCTTTTTTCTCAAATCTACTTAATCAATAATAATAAAGAATCACACACTTAAGACCAGCTTTTTGCATGTATGAGGAAATGATGTGATTACATTTACTTATCATCCTGGAATAACAATAAGAGACAATTAACATACAATTCACACATAATGTGTAAATAGCTGTAAATATAACAATCATTGTTGGAGGGTTTCACATAATATGTTTAACGAATACAATTCTTTAAAAAAACGAAGTAGTTCTAATTGAATTTTGACCAATAGCTGAGTAACTCAGTTGTGTTGGTTTCAAAGGTTTCAAATCAAAACCGTAAACCAATTTGTTTTACATGCAATGCACAAGTGTCCTTTTATTTTGAAAGACTAGGAAATCGGAGTCTCTGCTGAGCCCCTGAAGGCAGCACAGTGATAAAGTGCTTTGGATGGGGTGTGACGTGGAGAGCAGTCAGGTCTGCAGGAACAGAGTCGGAGTTAAACTCACTCCACAGTTTTTACGGAGGGCTGTCCGGGACTGGGCTTTACGGACCGAATTTGAATACGCGCCGTTACTCACCTGAAACTTCCTGAGAATCACAGGAAATAACCGGGGAGCAGCACCGAGCGGACCGGGGCACATGGAAACGCTATGTAGCTGGAAATACGGCGGTGGACTTCATCACAGTTTCGCTCGAGAAGAGGCGAAGTTAGCTGCGAGATAAACATGCTCACCCCGATACTGGCCTCCCTGCTGCTGCCTCTTCTCCTTCTCTGTCGGATTTCTTTCTGCCAGTATTCAAGCGACCAGTGCAGCTGGAAGGGCAGGTGAGGTTTACCCCGTTGTTTTTTAAATGTAAAATGTGGATAAAAATGATTCTGAAAGTAAGTGAGCTGCAGCGACTTGAGGCGACTGTGGCCGAAACTCAGACTCCGAGCGCGGCGATCTGAAATCAGGCAGCGGAGTAAAACGAGAATAAGTCTTACATTAAAACAGGTTAGGAATATCAAATAAATGTCTTGCCTAAATAAATAATCTGTTATTGTTTTGTGATGTTAGTGGGAATGAGAACGGGCATACGACAGTTTCGCAGACGGGCAGGATTTATTGGTATGCTGAATTTATGAATGACTGACACATTTAATTGATCAAAATATGACTCACCAATAAAAATGCGTTGAGGCCTATTATTAGGGACTTGCTCGTATAAAAAAGTATGCACAATTAATACAATATAGGCCTATAATTAAACCTACGTAAGTACATACTTAGATTTAAAGGTTTAACCGCCCCCCCAACAAAAATAATACTGATATATTTACAGGATTACATGCACAAATCTCCGCAGAACCGTTTTAAGCATTTCGTTTTTTAACAGTTTCTAAAACCTCAGGCAGCACACTGGAAAATGTTTCCTCCATCAAACATCTGCTGAACTCTCTTTTTGCACTTGAGAGGCTGTGCTTCAAATAGTGTGGTTTTGTTTTTCATCCTCCACTCAGGAGGGGTAGGAGATATTCAGCACTTTGAGCCCAAACCAATAATCTGTTGTTCATTAGTGAGACTCTTGACTAATCTCCTTTAATTGGATGCAGAAGTGATGAAGTTAGAAAGGACTTAATTAGAGGCGTGCTGAGGAGAGCCTGGTTATGAGGCTTCAGCTGCATGTGTTCAGCATATGCCATGGGTTACTTTAGATCTATGGCAAATTTGAATTTCAGCATCTCATTTTCAGGAAGCTGGGCGTTTCTCCCCCAAAGTCAAAACCACTAGCTTGGCATGCACATGCTGGTGGACTGCTGATGGCTTCCTGCCTCTGGCTCTGCCACAGAATGACTGACAGACAGGAGTTTTCGAACCCTGACCAGGCATTAAGTTCTGGAGGGAGTCATTTGGTCATGCTGGCGCCAGAGTCCGAAGTGCTGCCCGGACAAGTCTCTTCCAGTCTCTTTGGTGGCTTGAAAGCAAGGGGAGGTTTGGTGCGTGACCTGCATTTGCACTTGCATGCAGCAGGCCCGGCTACTGTTGCTGTCGCTGTCTGCCCAGAAGCCCCTGTGTCCCTCCATTCATCCATTTCTGCTTCCAAACTCTTCCCCAAGGCAGCTTGCCAGTGGTGCGTTTTGCCAAAGCTCGGGGAGGATAATGTGGTATGGGGGGAGTGTGTGTGAGCTGAGGTCATTTTGGCTGCTGCGGCTCGTGACTGGTCATGCAGCCAGTCTTTCGCACAGGCAGCCATTAATGCTTCAGGAGGCGTTTAGTATAATACCCCTACAGTGTGTCAGAGGCCCTTCACCTTGGTCAGGTATCTCGGGCTGTAAATGACCAAACCATTATTTTCCGATCACTGAATAATCTGTTGACGATGAATGAAAGCAGGAATGCACAGTATTTTTTGTCAATATTACATTTTCCGATATTTTTGACCCACAACTAATTCTTGCAGTTTTCCGATAGTTATATCCAAACATAACAAATCAACATAACATGCATAAAAACACAACATACAGAAGTAACTCATTCACTGGGCCAATAAGGAACAACCTAAACTATGTCCACATGCAAAACATGCCCTTTTATCTTTTACCTAACATATCAGCCGGTCATTTTGGAGGAAATGTTCGGTTGTGGCTGATGCCAATATTACCTTTTTTTTTTTAAAGCCTCTTCCTGCTAATATTAGTGACTTGTGAATAACATCCTGAATCCCTAATTAAAAAAAAAAAAATAAAAAAAATCTCCACATCAAAAGGTTCCACATTGCCGGGTTTTGTGTAATTGTACACTTTCAGAAATTCGAAACAATCCCTGCCACTTTGATTCTCGAGTGGTCGATGTCTGCTGACGTCTTTCCTTCTCTTTACTTGCAGTGGTCTGACCCATGAAAGCCACGCCAGGGATGTGGAGCAGGTGTACCTCCGTTGCTCCCAAGGCTCTCTGGAGTGGCTCTATCCCACAGGGGCCATCATCGTCAACCTGCGGCCCAACACAGTCTCCCCCGCCGCAGCCCGCCTCTCCGTCTGCATCAAACCCTCTGCAGACTCCGGCGGCACCAACATCTACCTGGACCGCAACGGCAAGCTGCGGTTACTGCTGCGTGAACAGGACCATGCTCAGGGCAAGGTGCAGTGCTTCAGTATCCAGGAGGGGGCGCTCTTTATCGAGGCCGTCCCGCACTTGGACATCAGCCGTCGCATCACAGAGTTCCAGTACGAGCTGGTCAGCGACAGGCTGGGACCAGATGCACAGTCACTGGAAGGTAAGACACATTTCCATCCTGGTGCTTTACGGCTCGATGCTAACCTGTCGGTCATTGTATTTCATTTGAGAAGCCATTATAAAGATCTGCAGGCTTTTGAATCATTCCCTCTGTGTCTGGTTCTCTTTGTGCTTTGTCCCTGTGGTGTGTGCACTAAATGCAGCCATCTACTGGTGGAAACTGTTATTAAGTTAGACGCTAATAGTAGGAAACTCAACATTTGTTCCAGCAGACTGCTAATACTGAAGCCAAAGTCCATTTCTCTGGTCACATTGTCTGTACATTTTGGTTTTAAGGGAATGTATTTCTTGTCGGAATCAAATGCCGGCTATAAGTATCAAGACATCAAAAAACTGAAGCTTTTTAAGTCTCTATGGTACTTTTCCAGGACGAAAAAATCCATTCATGCTTGATTTGACTTGGCTCTTAGCTGTAATAGATTTTGTCTTTTTTGTGTGTGTGGAGAGGCACAGCCAAACAGGGGGCCTCCATTGAAAAACAACCGTGTATTTTCACGCTGCGTACCTGCCAAACCTGCACAGTATCAAGCCGCGCAACTGTGTTCTTTTCCACCTCAAACAAAATAAGAGCAGTATTGGGCCCACATCTGTTTTCACGGGCTCTCTGGGTTCACACATCCTGCGTCATTATCTGGCGCAGCACAGAGAGGGGGTTAAATGCAGAGAGCAGTGAGCGTGGGGTTGTTTTGGCCACATTAGTGCAGTATAATCTGTGTGTGTGATGTGGCCTCAGATCGCATCGGGATGATTCACAAAGACAGTGGTCTCGTGTCATCTGAAGCCTGGGCTGGTGGATTGATTGCAGCTTTGCTTCTTCTCATCTCCTTCTCTCTCCCGTCTCTTCCCTCTTCTCTCCGACCCGCTGTGCTGGGATTGAGTTGCTCACCGTCAACTTGGAATGCATTTCTCCAACCAGATGTTTGGAGGAGCTTCTAGGAGCATATAGGCTTATTTTCCCCCCCCCCACTCCCTTCTTCTCTTGCCGTCACTCCCTCAGCCTCCCTTTCAGATCACTTAACTCATATTTGTTTTCCGTCTTTGTTTCACTATTTCCTACCTCTCTTTTAATGTATTGCTCGTCCATTTATCATTCTAGTATTTTCCTTCTCATTCCTCTCCCCTTCATATATCTTTCCTCTCTCTTCCTGAACGTTTGAAGTGGTTCACGTCTGTGCCGAATGGTATTAGCGAGTTGTGCTCCATTACAGTGGAATGCATGGGGGCCCAGATGTTTTAGGGACACTACATCGTGCCTCTCCTCCCCTCCTCTACCACTCATCCCTCTCAGCTCCTGTGAAGTGGTTCTGATCAGAGCGGCGCTGCATGTGCATGGGCCAGAGAGGGATGCTGACTCGGCTCTCAGCCCATTCCTGTGGTTCTGTTTCATGTCTGACATGTGAGCCCTGCTCGCCTCTGGTTTGGTGGAAAGAAAAAACACGGCTGGGTTTAGCGCTGGGCTCTGGGCCTTTCTAATGCTAAGGCCGCACGCAGGCTCACTTCAAAGGGCCTTTGCACTCGGCTCTGGGCGAGGTCGGCCGCTCTGAAGTCTCCCGGCTTTCCAGCTGTTCTTAAGCCGTCCGAGCTTGTGGCTGTTTGACCTCCGACCTCTCTGGTGATGCGGCAGAGCCTCGTGTTGCTACACAAGCTGACCTAAGACATGTTCACCCCTCACCCCTATACTCTCAAGCCAGCTAAAAATAAGGCTCCAGCGCCTACAGATGACAGAGGGCACTCATCTCTGTTTTTGGACTTAATTAAGTAATAGTCTACAGATTTACTCTCCACATTTCTAAATGAGAAACATTTCACACCAGACTATGTAAGCTAGGGGGGTTTCCAGTGCACCAAATCCACCTGAGTTAACTGCTTTAATCATTATTTTTCTAATTTAATGGATGAACACCCACTGACCCAACCTCTGCACATTGCTGACTCGACACCCCTCCCTCTGCTCCCCACCTGCCCCTCTCTGCCGCAAAAGAAAACCACAGCAGATCTAGGACTAATAAAGACGTTCTATCCCGGCCAGCCGCAGGACCACCTGAGTCAACTAATCATTGGTTGTCTGCTCTCATTTAGGGCCCTTTCTCCTGCTATAAAACAGTCTGGAGGCGGGCCGGCTGAGCTGCTGCTCTGCGGGGGAAATGTAGCCCGGGGCAGACTTCTACATTTCTCTCCAATTCTCTTTTTTGACAAATCTTTTGCCCTTCAGTTATGAGAGTATACCCTTTGATTGCCATCTTCTATTGTTTAATACCAGGCATTGTGGGGATCTGCCCACTATTAAGTGATTTTCACTTTTAAAGCTCTTCAAATCTCTACTTGATGTTGTAGTTGAGAAAGTGCTCACTGTTTCAGTCCCAGCAGGTCTGCTGAAGTGCTAACAGAGCTCAGGTCAGCAACTTAGCCTTTCCTCGTGTTTGTGCTCCCCTAAACTTCTCATCTGGTCCTTGTTTGTCACGGAGCGTCGAGGGGCTACTCTTGTGGCGGGGAAGCTGACCGAACGCCCCCCACAAGCATAAAACCCCTCAGCAGTGTTTATGTGGATAAACTTTTTGTTGAGCAGCATGCCCAGTTCTGTTTGGTGTTAAAACAAGGAGCTCATGACAGCTGAATTCTGCTCTGCCGACTTTGTAAATAAATAATCATCTGTAGGGACGGAAATGACTGTGACCCTAGTTGTTAGTGTGTGACTTTGTGTTTGTTAGGTAAACACAGGCAGTGTTCAAAATGGCAGATACTATCCAGTATAATGTAAATAATGTTCAGCCACCCTAAAATGAATTGTGGCTCTATAGACTGTTCAATGGTGGACAAAAAATTATGAAGCATTGGATCAAATAAATGGGAATGATGGCAAGTGATCTACAGATAAGAGGAACACTTATTCTAAAATATTTAAAACTTTTAATACTGGAAAAATAAAATAAAGTGAAGAGGATTTTGTGACCTTTTTATTTTATCACCTTTTGTGATACAGATTTCATTCAGAGTGTAGCTCAGACCGGTTGTCATGTGATGTAGATGCATTTAGCTTGGCTTTACTTCAGTTTGAACAGTCTGCTGGTCATGTCAAACTTGAGCGTAATTTAGTAGGAAGTAGTATGCAGTGGCTCAGTCAGTACAGTGTTTCCCACATCATTTGATTTATCAAGACAAGCCAAAGGCCCCCTAACCTATTCGGGTGGCCCACGCATCCCCCCCCCCCCCTCAAATAACAAAATACATTTGAGTTCATGGCTACTGGAGCAGACAACGTTCTTGTTGCTCTGTGTTGCGTTGTTAATGAGTGAGACACACCGGAGTTGAGGATCTGTGGGGTTTATTCTCCCAAAAATATAATTTACAATTTACACCAATTTTTTTTTATATATTATCCGCCACAAATTAATCGATGTATGGGAAACACTGCAATAGGGGCTTGGACTGTGAGCCGTAGGGTCGCCGGTTCAAGTCCCCGACCAGACATAAATATGGAGTGGTGGACTGCTACTTGGAGAGGTTCCAGTCACCTCCTGCCCTCTGCCGTGGTGCCCTTGAGCAAGGCACCGGACACCCCCTTCCCCCCTCAATCCCATTGCTCCCCGGCCTCTGTGAACTAACTGCCAACTGCTCCTTGTACTAAGACTCCTGGAGTCCTGTACTAGGATGGGTTAAAAGCAGAGAACAAAATGTCGCTGTGTGCTCCGCATGTGACCATTTAAAGAGGGTTTCATCCCTCCGATTCTATCTATTTGTACTTATTGAGTTTAAAGTGGAACTTTCATGCTATATTTGAATAATATATTGTAGGGCCATTTCTATACAAAAAATTTCTGAAGTTTTTTTTTTCAAAATACCAAACAGATCATGCATTTTAGCCATGCCTCATTTCGCTCTATTTGCTCAAACAGGGCTGATTCTGTGGCAAATGAGCTGCAGCTGACCACGCCCCCCTGCAAAGGAGGAGGGCGAGGCAGAGTGTCATGTTACCATGACGTTACCATGCTGTTACCATGCCACGGCAACCTCTCATTCCCCTGATAGGTGGAGAGTAGCCCATATAGGCGGAGCTCCTCGTTTCTGACGTCAGAGATATTTCAAATCTGGATCAGTCTGTATCAGATCCGTTGCAGCCCCGTTTTTAGAGATTTGGGTACGGAGGAAAAGAGAGAGGGTTGTGTTTTCTGACACTTGGTGAGTTCCCTGACACACCGGGGACACATTCATGTACAAAAGTGCATTTTGCATGATAGGTCCCCTTTAAGTAGAAAGTGGTGGACCTGTTAAATATTATGTGGACTGAATTTTCCTGTTTCAGTTTGTAGTGCTTTACCAAACTCATCCACTTTCTCTCTTTGTGTCCCTTCAGAACCCTGTCATCCCTGCAGCGACACTGAGGTGCTCCTCGCAGTCTGCACCAATGACTTTGGTAAGTTAAAACCCAGTTTGGGAGAATAATAGTCTTCCTGTTTCTATCTTATGAGAACACCATATTGTGTAGCATGAAATAAAACCTGTACCTAAATCCTGTGTTCCTGCTTGGTGTTCTCAGTGGGCCGGGGCAGCATCAGGAGGGTGGAGCAGGAAGAGGAGCACTCGACAGTCGCTGTGGAGATCAGCCGCCTCTACAGACAGAAGATCCACGTCTTTGCATCTGGGGGTGTGAGGGTGAGGAGGTGGACTGGCAGCATCAAGATGCCCCCGCAGTGTGGGGTGAGGGCTGGGGAGGGGGAGTTCCTCTTCACCGGGACTGTGAGGTTTGGGGAAGCCTGGATGGGTTGCGCCCCACGCTACAAAGACTTCTTGCGGTTGTATAACGAGGCAGAGCAGCAGGGGACCAACCCCTGTCATGTGGAGACGGACTGAGGGGTTTACCTGCCCACTCTTGGAAAAATGACATGTCCTCAACTGTGTGGTGGGGGGGGGGGAGAAAGAGCAGAACCAAGCGTTCATGCTAAGGAGAGAGAGAGGCCGACAGACTGGCCCGGAGCCTCTCTCTTCTCCTGCTGTCATGTGACTCTTCGGAGACAAAGACTGGAGCTTCTGAATGTTGCCAAGCAGCATGCTGGATGAACTCCCTCTGAAAAGTCAAACGTGATGCAACAAGGAATGTGTCCGGACTGCCTTTCTCGCAGACAAAGGAACTCCCAGGATTTAAATGTAGCAAACCCTCATTTGGTTTTTATTTGTATAAAATGTGAATGAACATTGTATATTTTGGAGCTCTGTGTGCTTTGTAAAATAGCTTGATGTACAGTTTTGAAGTTATTTCTTATGACAGAAATGTATAAAGTAAAAGCCTTTTTATTTTGTTTAAAATATGATCCCCAATTTTAATGCCTGAACTCGTGGTGTTTTTTTTTTCAGGCCGTACAATTAAAGAAAAAAACCCTAAAAAAGCAAAAACGTTTTTTTGCCTTTTGAGAATAAACGTTTTTATTCCCTGGATGTGTGTTAATGTCTGTTGTTTATATGTTAAATAAATAATTTACAAAATCTGCACTGGGCAAATTTAAACTTTAGCAGGTCATTGTTTTTTAGGATTTGACTTTGAGGGATTTAAAGAGGGTTCTCTCTGGACTGTTGGTAACTCGTGGACCTTTTTTGACGGTTTAGTCCAAACAATCAATTTATTTAGAAAATAATATGCAGATGAACTAATGCAGGATACGGCTAGCTTTAGCCTTAATTTAGCTTGTGCTATAAACCCTTAATTTCAGCCTCATATGGAAATGGTGGGTCATTTCATATCAGATGAAATACTCTCAGTAGTGCGAACAGGTTATTTTCCCCCCTGTTCTGTTGGAATAATAACACACTCATATGATGTGCATTAGGCCCTGCTCCGAGGTTCACCTCAGCCTTTAGCCGGGGACCGTCTGCCAGGGGTAGAGATTGATATCAGAGAGTTGGAGTGGATTCCTCTGCGTTGGTTCCTGTGGTGATGGGGGTGGCCGTGTGTCAAGGTCAATGTGAAAGGCCTCTTTGTTCCAGCGCAGCAGTCTGGTATGAGAGAGAGGACTGAAGACAGACCTGAATACAGCCCTGTGACTGGGCACGCAGCGGAAAGCAGCACTCTCCAACCACACTGCACATTTTGATTGGCATGTACAGTCGTGCTCAGGTTCCCTGTTTAAATGAAGACTTTAATATCCACATCACCTGGAATCTAACAAGGAACAGAGCAGGTTATTTTAGCGCTGAGCTGTGCTGCCGTAACAGTAGATGCAACCTGTGAGCCAGGCCCGTTAAGATGACATCCATTTCATGGCCAGGTCCCTCTTTGTCTGCCTTTTCACTTAAAACGGAAATGCACCTCGAATGTCTTTCAATAGTCAAAAGTTGCCCCACATAGACAATTGCTTCTCCAGACAGCTCTGTGTATTGAATGTCTGAATTCCAGCTGAAAGCCAGCGGTCCCTGAATTGCTCACTGGGAAATGCAAACAGAGTTTCTATGGAAACGATGACTTTCTATGAACCTTCTCACTCTGGCTTTGAGACCAGGAGCCGAGGAGGAAGAGGAGGTCAGCGGGCATTACTTGGCTGGTGGTTTTCACTGGTCGGGCTGTCCTGGTTGTCAGAGCTCTCTTCCTCCGTCCTCTCCGGCCAGTAAACCTGTTTGACACCAGGCTGGTCTTCAGGTGATTCCTATGCAAAATAATCAATATATGCATCACTGTTCAAAGTGACCTACTGAGCTGTAGTGTACTCCCATGATGCCGTGCAATTTAGTTCTTTACTTTCCCTGGGGAAGTATCTACTAGCTCTCATAAGGATTTATTTTCACTTGAGCTACTTTTAATGAATGTGATTTATCGACCACTGCATCTACAGGATGCAACTCTTTTGGGGGAAAAAATCATTTGTTCCAGCTTTTCAAGTTCAAGAATGTGCATGACATTTGAGGAGCTGTCCATGAGTTGTAAAAGAAAAAAGCAGCACAAAAAAGATGCAACTGTTCCTTCTTTTCTAATGTCTAGCTATTGTCACTAATACTGCACTTGCTTTCTCGAGGCTTGATAAGCCGACCATGGGCAAACAAATCAAAGATAAAAGGCATTTTTAGAGAATGTTTCTGAACACCATTTCATGAGATTTTCTTCTAAAGAATGTGTTTCTAGTTTCACTGGGAGTAGTTCATTTGAAATTCTGACTAATCTGTCAAAAATGCACATGCAATCGCTTGCCATTTTAAGGGCGAGGTCAGATTTCATTGTAATACTAGTTGAGAAGGACCAGTTTATAACAGACATGAATATGTGGGGCCTTTGTGTCGTCAGTGTGATTCAGCCAGAAGTCACTGCATGGTCATCTCGTGGGTGGAATTAAAAGAGAAAGAAAAAAAAGTACTGTTGAAAACAGTGACGGCGAAGGGCACAGTGACTTGGCAGAAAGAAGGGCAGTCGAGTTAAAGAGCAGGAGGTCTCCAGTAGTGAGAAGGGGCCTTCGAGCGTAGTGTAGTGGCTAATATTTTATGCCTCTTTGGGAAGTGCTGGAATGTGGGGAATGTGTTGACTTCACACACACGCGTGCACAGTTCTGTGAGCGCTGCTGCCTTGATTAGCTGGAATCAATAGAGTCTCTGTGGTGTTTCTGTGTGTATGAGTGTGTGTGAGTGTGTATGCCGGCACTGTGCGCGTGGCCCTAACCCCAGCACACATAAACACACCGCCTCAGCAGCGAGATAGCCGCCACCCACACTGAGCCACGACTCTCTCTGCAGCTGCAGTCCTAACACCTCAAATCTGACATAATGCTGCCCTGACACTTCTGTTAGCAGGTCTCACAGGTTTATATTTCAGATGTAATCTGACTTTCTCATCTCAATAATATTGTGGAATATTACTCTTTTACTATAATAGTATTTGTTTTGTTAAACAACCACCCTCTTCAAAAGATTGCAAGTTCCTAGGGCCTGCATGGCTCCAGCTCAATATCCTCTTAATACGACAGATTAGGAAGATCTTGCCAAGGGTTTTATGTTTTCAGCAGTTATTTTCCCTGGGTCAAAATGAAAAACCCACAAACAGCTTTCCTGCTAATGCTATATTACTCTAAAGTTAAACCACATAATAGCCCCTACAATTCTTGTGAATGTTTACTTGATTTCAAACAATATGTCTCAAAAGTGGCTAAACTGATTTTTACAGTTCAATTGGTGATTGAAACATCCACATCCCTTCATTCTTTTGCAAAGAGAGCCTTATCCAATCTCTCATTGTTAGGAACCTTGACTCAATAGTATGAGGACTCAAATGCACAACCCAGAGACAAAAAAGGTTTGAAGAAAATAATCTTTACTTGAAAAAACAAAATGTCAAAAGTAAAGCGCTCACATGGAGGAAAAAAGGCAAATCAAACTTCGCCCGCATAACAAGGGTACTATGAATCCTAAAACTGTAAAATAATATGGTTAATTTTGTACAACAATTAGCAGTTAGCTATGTTGATATACCCAGGCTCAGCAATGCTTTAAGCTAAATGTCAACATAAGCATGCTAACTTGCTAACAAGGACAAATTGTGCTTTGCAGGTAATCTCATCATGTTCACCATATGAGTTGAGCCTGATAGCATGGTTGCATTTGCTTTTTAACACCAAAAACAGAGAATCAGTTTTGTAGGCTATTGATAATCAACCATACCATTTATGATGTCTTTCCCTAAAATATAAAAATGTAAATATAAAAATGTTAAAACATGTTTATGCTTAAGTATCTCAAAAATAATTTAAATACGTTGTAAAAAAATTGTATTTTGAGTGAATGTTAAAGTAGCCTGTTTTCAAATTCCCTTTAAGTCATTACCAATTGGAGCCAGAAAGAGAGGAACACATCAGAAAGCGAGGGTCAACAAGCCAATAAGGCCCCTCACAGAATGCTCATTAATCCCCAGAGGGTCATGAGTTTCCCAGTCATGAAATGCCTCAGAGCCGCCTCCTTTACCCCGCCTCTCCCACCAAAGCGGCATGGTAGGATTATGCTCTCTGGTGTTGGGTGTCCCCTCACAAAAAGTGATTGGGAGGTCATAGCTTGTTCTTGCATGTCTTAATATCAGGTATCAAAGGGGATGTGGGAATTGTGTGCTCAGATATGTTAAATGGGAAGTGTACGTGAAGTAAACCAGGCACTGCCTTTATTAATTAAGTTTTGGCAGACTCATGCAGTCAGAAACATACAGTAGCATTAGTCTGTTGAAGAAAAAGCTACCCATGATAGAAAGCTCCACACTGCTAAGCTTTATCATGTAAATGCCTCTTTCTTGGCTGACGTCTGTATTATGACTAATTATTTCTGTTTGTTAAAGGTTATTTGCTGCTCCAGTCTGCTCCTACAAGACTGTCTCCTTCTTCCTTTTGTCCCTCATCGTTCTCTTTTCTTAATGAGTGAATGTGCGCGACTGCTGTCAGCTCACATGGCTCCCAGAGGCCGCGTTAGGGTACCCTGTTCGTTCAGCAAACACGCCAATGTCCTCCAGAGTGGGGGGTCCTACTGCAGAGTTACTGGGAGCCCCCCAATGCTCAGCAGCCCAATAACGGCGCAGAACTTGGCTCCGAGGACATCGAGCAAACACACTGCAAATTGTACTTTTATTTACTTGCCTTCGCTTCCCCGCCCCCAACAGCCTTCATTTACTGGGATCCGCAGTGCCATTTCCAGGAGCCCCATGGCAACAGTCGGCCTTGTCAACGGGGGGACAACTTTCTCATGATGTCACTATGTCATGGATATTGGCTGCCTGTTGCAAAGCGATGAAGCTTGCTGTGAGATGTTAGGATCCCAAAACGACTGATTTTTACGAAAACACGACATTTGGGTTTTGGTACTCTAGCTTAACCTTGATTTGTCTTCGTAAAGTCGTTTTGTTTATGTTTTTATCTTATTCTTTTGTTGTTTTGTTATTTCTGTGATTAACAATAGTAAAGCCGCTGGTAAACTCACACAGAACTGCTTGTTGGATTGGCTGTTTAGCTTGAAAAACCCCTCCCCCACAGACTTTTACGAAGTCTGATTTGGATGCAAGGGCTACAATTTCGATACATTTCGGAAAGTCAAAGCTCCCAAATCAGACCCAATTTATGCAGCAACAAGCCAGGGGAGACAGTCAGTTCTAAACACTTCCAATGTGGTGGGACAACACACTTTGCCAACCTAGTTTCTTGCACGGCCCAACACTAAGTGATTCAATGCTTTCAGGATGGACCATTACTGAAATTGTCACTGATCACAATAACAAAAGCTGCCCCTGTCACTAGTGCTCTCTTGACTTAATCTTGGCTTTGAATGAGCGTGTTGTTGCATGCTCTATACAACCTTTCACTCATCAACCCTTGCTTCTTGTCTGCTTGTGATAATGCAATCGGCCCAGGCTCCTCCGCTCTCAGGCCTGTCAGACTCAGCCGATCAGCAGTTTGCACAGTCCAATGAGCACCAGTGGATTTGCCCTGTTGGTGGACTCCTCCTTGGCAACCAGGCCGACCCCCTCTGACCTCTGGCCTAGGCTGTGGCCTTTGGTTGAGAAGAAAAATGGTTCTTGTCTAAATTCAGCATTAGAATCCGGAGGAGACTGGGGCGGGCACTATATCCTCAAAAGGAAACGCACATCTTTAGGTTTTGTTGAATGACAAAGATCATCAGCCAATGGCGGGACAAGTTTAGAGCGTGATGGATTGTGTAATGGGACATGGGATGTTTGATTGATGTCTAAATGAGGAGCATAATAGCTTGTGTGATGGATAGGTAGGAAGTGAACACTTAGATTTTCACACAGGAGCGGATGTTAGCTGTTTGGTTTCGTGACAGAGGATGATGGATCGTCGCCCAAGAGAGGAGGACTTGGTAAACGAGGGAATAAATTGATCGCAATGCTTTTTTGTTTTTAGATAATTATTTTGTTGGATGGTTTGACGCATAAACACAGTTTAAAGTAATGGGCCATCTTGATCCAAATAAAACTTTAAACAAATGTTGCACTGTTAATTTAAATGAGTCAGATACCCATTAGATTAAATTATTAGATTATTTACTTTCAATTAGATTGAATTACAATATATGCTGAATAATGAAATAATAGTGAAATTTCTGTCTTGAAATCATTTTCTAGGAGGCCTTTGCCAAAAATAACAACGACATTAGTAATAGCTGTCAAATATTTTGAGCGTGCTTCTTCAAAATTGTGCGCACATGATATAATGGAAACCCAACCCAACAACCGCACCGCTTAATTCAGGACAGCATCACAGGAATTTAAGGCCTGTCACACACAGACTGCAAACATACCACAGCTCAGCACCTAAAGTGTAAAACACAGACTAAATCTGTATTAGTTTTGCAAAGCTTAATAATCACTTTAATTTCTCTCTGGAGAGTGCTTAAAAATAATATTGTCAGTTCAATTACAGATTCAGATGTCACAGGGTTTCATTAAAATCATTAGTGGATGTCAAACCAGCGTGCTGAGTGCTGAGTTACGGCAACAGTTATCAAGTGGACAAGTGTTGGCAACAGCTGAAAAGTCAGCTGGGAGAAGAATGGCTGAGCCAGGGAAAGTAGAGCTGTAGGGGTCACACACACACACACACACACACACACACACACACACACACACACACACACACACACACACACACACACACACACACACACACACACACACACACACACACACACACACACACACACACACACACATGCTGTTTCATGTAATAGTTTGGCACAGGTGACACAGTCAGTGACCCCTAATCAGAGTTCAGGACCCTGTTGTGTAGCCTGGGACCTCTCTGAGCTCCATAAAGTTCAGAGGGCAACCTGATTGATTGGCATTAAGGGATATAATCCACATCTGCAAATTACAAAAGAAAACCTTGGTCAAATGACAATTTAGCTGTTGAGCTCACGAGAATAGAAACTACAGGACAGCGAGAGAATACAAACAGGCCACAAACATGAGGAATCAGTTAAACAAGAAGAATATTTATATCATCCCTTTTTACTGCTTGGATTCTTCGCAGAGTTTTGATCTCCCCTCAAGTATCGCCTTGAGAAAGAGCCGTGTGCTCATGTTGCAACACAGAAGGGTCCAGTTTACCCACTTGCAGGCTGAGGAGACAAGCGCTCGCTGGTGTGACATAATGTGCACATTTTGGGGGATTATCACCGCTTTACTGTGGAATGCATAACATGTCTGAGTGGGGAAATCAGACACAGAGTAGCAACGAGGGCACAGGAGCCTCACAAAGTGCTGAGTGACTGACAGTTATAAAAACAAGTTTAAAATGTAAAGCTGCTGAAAGAAACTTAAATATATGCTGCCACTTTATTTCAACAACATATTCACATTTTTCTATCAAATATGTGTGTACAAATCAGATATGTTATTATGTGTGGTCATTAAAACGGCATTTTGGATATGGTGTTTAAAGGGGCTCTTTTTTAATGTTACACCTAAATGTCCGTTTATTAGTTAGAAATTGTACTACTAGTCTGTTGAGAAGGTTGTATCATGTCTCCTGTGGCTTGGGAGGGCTTTTGCCATACATGAAGAAATAAACCTGATGATTTCACAAGGGTGTTCTTGTTTTGGGCATGGAGACTGCACATTTTTAGCTGCAAGCGGAATCTCTATTATTAGTTTGCTCTATCAGCTGCTACGTACATAAACAAAACTTTCCCTTTGGCTGCTGTGTACAGAAACAAAACTTTCCCTGGCTTTAAATGCACATTAAGTTTTTGTGAGTCTGTGTGTTTGTGAATGCTTAAACGTGTGGATGCAGGTATTTACAAGATTGCAACTATTGTAACTATTATGAATTTGCGCTAAATCTCTGTAAGGACCTGTAGTTTGACACACAAATGCATTTAGTAGTCGACGAGGGTCTATGAAAGATGCTGGCAAAATTGCATTATGGGAACAGTAAAATCCATCGTTTTTTGGGAGTTTGACCCAAGATATCTCAACACCTGCTGCTTTTGACTTTAAGTATTATTTAAGCTGTTTCTCACAAGTCTCCCAACCTAAATGACTGTGTGGGGTTAACTGATCGTGCTGCTGATACAATATGTAACCTCTTAGGCCTTGCTTGTTGAGTTATACAACATGTCATATATCAGCATCCTTCTTTGTTTAATTTAAACCTTGGGACCTTTGTTGCATGTCACAACCCTCTCTCTCCCCCATTACAACACCATCATCTTCCAAATTAAAAATCTGCACAAAAAAAGAAACAAGTGAACACCTTCAAACACACCCTTTAGTGTTAGTACTGTCTAGTGTTTGAATATGTCACATTTTCCACTGAAAAAACAGACAAATCCAAACTGCTTAGAAAAACACTGTCCAAAGTAAATGCTATATCAAAAAAGAGTTGACAGGAATACAATAGTTGAACATACCATTTAGACTGGAAGCACAAGGTTTACTCATGTCTTTTAGTAAGACAGACACTGCCCCCTGCAGGACAACAGTCTTTAGCCACTGCTGTGTGTGTTAAATCCTGACACATTGACAGTGTTTAAACCAGAGTACATCTCATACGTATCACCATTCTGTCTGCACCAATAGACACAGTTATGTACAGTATTAGACCAAATCCAAACCCATAATAACAGTGTAATAAGAGCACAGAAAGTAGGCTTTATGTTTAAATACCGGAGAGGCCGCTCAGATTTCCAGACGTGGTGAAATGTATATTTATACTGCAGTCAAAACAAAGCCTGAACATGTCTGACAATGCATAAAATAATGGCTGGAGCTATGATCAGTTATACTGCTGACCTGCCATCCACACACTGATGGCTGGTTTGAGTATGTCACAGAAAACGTGTATGTATTCAACATAACCAAGCCAGGCCTACCTGCAGACATGAGTAAATACACAAAGAGATGAGTAATAATGCCCTGCTGATGCAGAAAACTGACAACCACAAGTCACTGTCCCAAACACAACAGAGACCCCAGGAGGGAAGGAAACCTTACTCTGCTCTTTGCTGAGAGTGATTTGGTAGAGTGTATACTTAAAAACTCATGGGTTCGATTTTCAGTGAGTGTTGCAGGGTAGTTCATGCTATATATAAAAAGAAAACATAGCCCATCAGATCATGTTCAGTGTATAACTCTTGGGAAGAAATTCAGTAATACAATAACAGATGTTGGCCTGCGAGGGGTCCATAGTTTGTTTATAATGGGCTTGTGAACATAGACAACCTTTAACTCATTTTACTGATCACAAAAAACAAGAAAGTTAGACCATATTTTCAGGTTTTACGTTGAGGAAACACTTTATTATCTTTCACAAAAGTTCTGACAGTATTTTCTTTCAGAAAGTGGAATATAATCCATTATTCAAGGGGGGGTGTCCTACTTCTCCAATGTGGTAATGCACATCTGCATTGATTTGGAGTCATTGTATCACAGGAAAGGGAAGCCATTTTAAACATCTATGCAAATCAATGAAACACCAAATTACTTTTATTAAAGAATAATAATAAAAATCGACACTATAATTATTCATTGATTCAGGGTCATTCGATTACATGACATCAAAACATAATTCATACACAAATAGTCATAGCAATATTCATAAAATAGAAAAAGCACTACAACCATAAAGAGTTGTGTCCTGCTTGTCCAACGCAGTTATGAAGTTATGCCTGCATTCAAAATCATTAGGTCACATGAGATAAAAGTAACAAATATGCAGTTTTTGTTTTATAAACAAAACGTAGCTATTTAAATAAATTAGCATTTTTTGCACCAAAATGACCCTTTTCATAGCATTTTTCATAGAAAATTGAAGGTACACAAAAATCAAATAAAAGACTTGTGTCCCCTTTTAATCATCAAAACCCAGCCCAGAAATAATAATGAACAACACGCCAAGCATGTTAGCTGCTAGCTTGGGTTTCCACTACCATGGCAACCCACACATGAGCCCTTTTGCAGCTGCTCTTGCTTTTTGAGTTCAGACATGATATATCTTTTTTTGTTCACACCACTACTGTAGCTGAAGGATAATCAATGTATTTCATCTCTGTATTCTGTAGGGTGATCATCATGGCTAATGAATGATATTGTTTATTTGAAGTTAATGTTTTATTAGAATAGCCTCTTGCTAAAATGTCTTTGGAATGGTCAATGGGCTCTCAGCCAATCAGGGTGAGTGAAAGTTAAAGATTACACATGGGGAGATAAACTCCAAGCTGTGTAAAGATAGACAGGTAAGAACCAGTTCATTTGTTGTTTAGACCCAGCGTGTAGCAAATATACTATTTAGACACATTTGAAACAGAGTTTAAGATATTTTAGACAAATGTCAGCGCTGCTAAGGTCCTGTCCTCACAGAATCAGATCTTTCGATGGACTCAAACACAAGGCTTGGAAATTATGCAGCACAAGTTTGCTCGAGCGATGCCGGTAAGTTTATACTCTTCATGTTCACTGGTCAGGTGGCAACAACATGTCACTCAGAAATGTAATGATGTTTGCATTCCTATAAGGGTTTATTGGAAATATATAGAAAGCATGGCTTTTAAATCAAGTGACCAGAGATCGTGCAGCTCCCTGGTGCTAAGGTTATAAAGTGTGTTATGAAGAGTCAGTAGTATTGGAATTGAAGTACTTTCCCTTTTAAAAAAATCTGATGGGTGTACACTGAAGGCTTTTTCTGAATAAATGTTCTAGTATCGTTTCCTATGCTATTCCTAGCTGAATATCGTAATTACACATCATACTGGGAAGTTTGTACCATTCAAGTTGTTCTGTGCCATTAACACTGATATTGGGTCTACTCTTCTTGTCATGATTTATGTTTGTATCTCTAGTTCATTAGGCCTGATAAAGGTTCACTTTTAAAACACTCTTATGTATTCTGTGATAGAGAAGGTACCAAACCTTTAACCCTATGGGACCTGTTTCAATCATTCATTAAACTGACCACTCTTCATGTGAACTGATATCTTTTTAAAATGTATTTGTAATGTATTTAGGATAATCCCATTGAGATTAACCATTTCGTTTTCAAGGGAGTCCTAACATATAGTACAGACTGCAAGCAAAAAACAAAAAAGAAATAAAGCAAATTGACTAAGGTATTTCATATTATTTTCAATGCTTATCAATGAAATAACAGCTTATTAATTAATTAATAATCCTAACAAAAAAATAAGAATTTCATCAATTTGTCTCCAAACAAATGAATGAAATTCTGAGACATACACAGCTGTATATATATGATTACCCAAGAATGCCTCAAGACCCCCCAACACGCTTTGGCTGGGGGTTGTGACCCTGATATGTTGAACTACTCAAATAGAGAAAAAGGAATCATCATTTTATTTCAAATCTGCAGTAAATGCTAATGTTTCAATCACATTGTAACTACTGCATTAAACCCATGCTCTTTTTGCTAAATCTTTGATTGTGAGGTCCCTCCATGTGGACAGCCGTCCTCACACACCCACACTGAGCAGCAGCTATGTGCACGGCACCTCCACCATCCCTCTGCTCCCCCTGACCGTGGGCCAGACTCTGGACTCCACCGTTCAGCGCTGGCCCGACCGTGAAGCTGTGGTCTTCCTGCAGGACGGCATCCGGAAAACCTTTGCACAGTTTCAGCAAGATGTAGGTCTTCAGCTTCTGTTATCAAGAGCTTTCATGCATTTATTAACCCTCAAACACTATTCATTATATGTTAAGAGTCTCCTGTTTCAATAAAGAACACTTCGAGAACAACTTGTCAAATCATTACAAATGTTAACTTGTTATGTTAGTAGGATTCTGGTTAGACCTTTTGAATACCAATGAAATGGTGGTTTGTCATTAACTCTACATGAAGCAACCCCCATGTAGTTTAATATTATGAATTGGTCTCCTCTTTGGGAGAACTCATCACCAAGCTTCTCTGAATCACAGGAATACTTGATTGCATCAGACAAATCTATCAAGCAGTCACACAGTATTGAATGATTATCTGAGTTATCTGTAACATTCTTTGGTGCAGGTTGACAAGGCAGCTGCAGGTCTGCTCGCTTTGGGCCTGGAGCGAGGCGACAGACTGGGAATTTGGGGACCCAACACGTACGAGTGGATCCTCTTCCAGTTTGCCTCAGCCAAAACTGGAATTATAATGGTCAGTTTCAGATTTACAATGTAGCCTTGTGGTTAGAAAGACAGTCTGCTCATTGTTGTCAAACACTTTCCTGCCAAGTATATGAGTGAGCAGGACATTGACCCTGGAAAGTTATTCTGTACCATCTGAATATCTACTATGGTCACTGTAACGTTTTCATTCATTTCTGTATGCAGTCATGTGTTTCAAATCAGGTGTATAATATATATGTACTATAAATACAATTTGAAATCTGTGTAGTGAGGGACTGTGCATACACTTGACTTTTAACCTTTTTTTAAATCAATGCAGGTTTCATTGAACCCGGCCTATCAGGTGAAGGAAGTGGAGTTTACTCTAACGAAGGTACAGTGAGTTGTGTTACAGAGTATTACTATCATTAGCTGTTATAATGTGCATATAGTAAAAGTACCTGTACACAGTTGGCAGGTACTTTTACTTGAGACTTTCTATTTTATGCTATTTTAGGTAGATACAGTAGGTTATTATGAATATTATTGATGAAGATAAGACTTGATTGATCTTTATAGTGAAATTCACAAGTTACTTGAAAACACCAAATATGTGTCATTTGCAGGTCCAGTGTAAAGCTGTGCTCTGCCCTACCAGCTTTAAAAGCCAACATTTCTGTGAGATGCTGAGGGAAATCTGTCCAGAGATTGACTCGTCGTCAGCAGGAATGATCAAAAGCTCCAGGTTTGACAGAGTCAATGTCCGATATCAGATTTAATAAATGTTGTCTTCTCCTGTTACCATTATGGGAGTAACAGACATTAAATGCTTAAACATTTTCCATTGATTTAAATAAATATCCTGTCTTGGTTGTACCAGGGTGCCAGAGCTGCGTATGGTGATTGTGACGGACAGCAGACAGCCGGGGATGCTCCACGTAGACGATGTGATGCAAGCAGGGGAGAGTCAGCACCACCAACAGCTGATGGAGCTGCAGAAAAAGCTGTCCTTCGATGATCCCATCAACATCCAGTTCACATCGGTAACCCTCAGTCACACTGTCACTCATGTATTTTATATATCTTGGACTGACACTATAAAGATCAGATCATGCTTCTTTGTTTCAGGGGACTACAGGGAGTCCAAAGGGAGCCAGTCTTTCACACCACAATATTGTAAACAATGCCTACTTTTTGGGACTCAGAATAGGTTTTAGAGAAAAAGTAAGTCTATATTGGTCTCTTCATCATTAAAAACACACAGACAGTAAAATGTAAGTAATTGTATTTTCATTTCCCCATCAGCCTCAGGTGCGAGTGTGTGTGCCCGTACCTATGTACCACTGCTTTGGCTCAGTGTTGGGAGGGATGGCTATGGCACTGCATGGCATCACACTGGTCTTCCCTTCCACTGCCTACAACAGCCGAGCCAACCTGGAGGCCATTCAGAGTGAAAGGTATGGCACCCTGCTCATCACGCAAATTAACTTTAAATATACAATATCTTACACTTAAGTTAATTTGTGTTTTTTTCACTCGAGGTGCAAATATGTGTACGGCACTCCCACAATGTTCACCGACATGCTAAGCCAACAGGATATACACAAGTACGATTTGTCATCACTTGAAGCTGGTAATAGATATAAAAGACTAACACATCTGTTGTATTGAACTTGGTGTAATTGTTAGCTAGCATTGAAGGCATCCTTTCGTATGTGCTGCTGTGTTTAAGGCGTCATTGCTGGTTCTCCGTGCCCTCCTGAGATTGTGAGAAGACTGATAACAGAAATGAACATGAAAGACATAACGGTAACATATTCTGAATAACAATTTTGCCTATAAAACGTATATATTTTAACTATAAGCATATGCTTCTTCATCATATAACATAATAGGTTCATCATTTTCTAACAGATAAGCTATGGAACCACTGAGAACAGCCCCATCACATTCCTTGGATTCCCACAAGACAATGAGGACCTGAAGATGAATACTGTTGGATGTATCATGAACCACACTGAGGTATGCCTTATTATTTGCCAGGAGAACCTTATTTATTCGTGCCATAACCCCTCTGTGACTTGTGCCTGTGTGTCTTTACTATAGGCCAAAGTGATCGACCCTTGTACCGGGGAGATTGTCCCTCTTGGGGCCTCGGGGGAGCTGATGATCAGAGGCAGCTGTGTGATGCAGGGATACTGGGACGACCCTCAGAAAACCAGTGAAGCTATCTCCCAGGACCGCTGGTACAGGACTGGGTAAGAGACTAGTATGTGCAATGTACACAGAAGATACAAAGGCATGTTACTTTAACAGGGTTTGATGTCAGATGCTCCATCATTTATGATTGTTTTCCTTCTACACAGTGACACAGGCAGTCTAAACAGTTTGGGATACCTTCGCATTGAAGGACGTATAAAGGATTTGATCATCCGAGGAGGGGAGAACATCTATCCTGCTGAGATAGAGCAATTTCTATATACACACTCGAAAGTAAAAGAGGTGCAGGTGAGACTCAAAACCACTAGATGGCAGCAGAGGTCGGATACATTGTCTCAGCAGCTTAAAGCTAAGCATTAAAGCCATACTTGTCTCTCTGAATGTTGGAGATAATTAAACATAAATAACATAATAAATATATTACTGTGATCTGACATGTTGTATTTCTCTGTCCAGGTGGTTGGAGTGAAAGACGAGAGGCTGGGTGAGCAGGTGTGTGCCTGCATCAAGCTGAAGGAGGGCCACACCTCCAGTGCAGAGGAGATTAGAGCGTTTTGCAGAGGCCAGGTGAGAGTGGGTGACGAGTGACGACACAATGATGCAACATACTCAAAAAGAAATCAGCACAGCTTTACAGTTTGTGTTTTCTCCCACTAGATATCTCACTTCAAGATCCCGTACTATGTGATGTTTGTAGACAGCTACCCTCTGACAGCCTCTGGAAAGGTACAGTTCACCAAAATCACTGAACTACCAAGATTTAAAATTGATAATGAGACTGAAACGCTTGCTATTTCATTTGTTTTCTAGATCAAAAAGAACATATTAAAGGAGGAAATGGAGAAGGAATTAGGCCTTTAATTGTGTGGCCCCTGGTGGACTGTGGACAGCTGAGGGAGTCAGACACTGAGCTGCGTTGAGTAAAGACTTTCTTTACCAACAGCTGGACTGGGACTATATCACTGATCAGCTGCTGGCTCGACACTCCCTGAAATTCTTTTATTTGTACTTCACACCTCATTACCTCAGCTTCATGATATGTAATGACAACCCAGATACAAGCCATACAATGTGACTGCAAGCTTTAATAAATGTCCAATAAGTGTATATTGTGCTTTATCCTCTTTAATTTCAGTACATTAAATGACCCAAACACCACAAGGTTATTTGTCATCTCAATCTTTATTTACTTAAACAACTTTGACAATCTGATATCATAGAACAATGGCTTTAACCATTCATTAGCTGAACATGCCATACAGAATCTGAAATAAATAGGGCTTTTAATGCCAAATGTCAGTATGTACAAATTACCATCCATACAAGCTATATACACTGACTGAAGAACACACGTTAGTAACAGGCTCATTGAGTGCCCAAAATGACATATTAAATAAAACAAATACTGAACTTTAAATTATTCTTCAAGATGGAGACCCAAAGACTTATGAAAGGGATATCAGGGGAAATGTGTTTTGGCATGTAAACTGATTTGTTAAATGCAACCTGCTTAAAATCCAAGAAAAAGTCAAAGAAACATTTAGGTCACAAAGTTAACAGAGAATCATTAAATATGCTGCATGACACAAAGGCCACTATAGACCATAAATCATACACCAGCCAAAATGAAATGAGTATCCTTTGTTTAAGTTTTATGGAGCCAAATTCACCTACTGGATAATTTCCCTTATATCAGAACGAGGTAAATGAGCCTGTCACAAGATAAAAAAAAAAGAAATGTGTACATAAAACATAAAAAAGGCAAAAACTGTTCCTTTGAAAGTTCAACAGATGTCCACAGAGGAAAAAACACTCGACTGCAGCGAAACATTTGAGGAGCAGTTTGTTTAAGTGCAGGTTTGACCTTTCTCCAAGCTTCAACATGGCGACTACTTCCAGGTTAATCACAGGAAGTAGCCGGTAACAAGAGGAACGACTGCACTATGGCTACATGGCTTTGAACGATCAACATTCACTTCAGTCGTGAATATGGGGTCCGACCACACCTCTCAGACCCCACATTACAAATGCACACATGCAAGAAAACATTGCATTTTAAAGCATACTGTGAGATAAATTAGTTAATATGAACACCTCCCTTTTTAAATATAATACATTCTAAATTGAAATTAGCTTAACTGTGCAATGTTGAGTGAAAATACAGGAGGAAAAAAAGTCAAGAGGAAGCTTTGGTCTGGTAGAGACCGTTTGTCAAGGTTTCAGAAGAACAGTGGAACTAAGAATATAACGGTGCCACTTCAGAGTTGATGTCTAGAAAGCAACACATTTGTAACGACATTCATACAAGCACAGTAAAGCACAGCTTTAGGCACATGCAAGTGTGTGGTAGGAACGCGTGCACACACGACTGTGCACCTACTCACAGATGCATTCAGAGCTGCAAACTGGAGGCAAGGTCATTGTGAAGTCCAGCCTCTCTTCCACACTTCAAAAAATGCACAATCCCAAACAGGCAAACACACGCGGCATCGGTTTCCTTTCAAACTCTTTCTCTCGCATACACACACCTAGCACACAATGTAAAGGTCATTCAAGTGTCCTCTGGGTTCCCACAGTGACAGTAGAGGTTCAGGTGGTGTGGGGTCGCCTCACACACTCAGAGGCAGCAGAGCTGGTGGAGACACGGCTCTGGATGTGGCGATGGAGGTCAAGGAGCTGGGGTCCAACCCGTTTACAGTCCTGCAGAAGCCACATGGACAATATTAGCAAACGCAGACACGTATAAGTGCAGGGCAGACAGGAAGGCTTATAAAACCAGAGGGAATTCTCCGCAATAATTGAAACACTTGATACAAGACTCACGTTTTGTCAAAGTAGGTCGTGTGAAGAGAGTGTGAGAACTTTGTGGCATTGCTGTTGATGAGTTTTCCGTTGTCTGTGGAATAATTTTTTCTAGCTGCTTGGTCTTTGGCAAAGTTCCTGCAGGCAGCGATTTTGGACTCCAGAGCCTAATCACAAAACATGAGATACCATCAGTCTTTAGTCCGATCATAAACACATTTCTGTTTCTGTTTCTGAGGACATCAGTGTTCTATCCAGGTATGTATCCTTCTTGTGTGTTACAAAGCAATAAGACTCACCCCAACCTTCCTCAAAAGGTCGCCAACAATATTAAGAGCAGAGATTCGAGCAGAAGGAGTGAGGGACGAGTTGCCGTTGCAGCCGTTGGACAGTGCTGTAAAAGACACAATCCAATGTCAGAATACAGATCAGACAATTTCTCATTTCACATGAGTCATAACGAGTGAGATTCCTTTCCAACCCTGACCTTTTTGCGTGATGAAGGGGTGCTCTATGCTCTTTCCTACGGGTGTGGCTGGGAGGGATAAAGAGGCCGGAACTGCTGAGTCCATCTTGTCGATGTCAGAGGTGGGGGAGCTGGGTGCTGACATCCTGTCGGTGGTCCGCTCCCGTACCGCCAGCTCCTGTCTCAGGTCTGCAGAACACAGAGTCAAACTCATGAGATAATAATAATAATAATAATAATACACTTTATTAAAAATAGCACCTTTCATGCTTGACGCAGCCCAAAGTGCTTTACAGAGTATGACAGAGTATGAATATAACAAATGAGGAACACAATTAAAAACAAGGTATAAACTAACGGCCCGTCCACACAGCAGCTTTGAAAAAAATCTTGAAAATCTTGGAGCTGGGCGTGTCTGAGAGCTTGGGGATTTTTTGCGAGCAACGCGACCAACAACCAATCACATGAATCTCCCGCCCCGACATACAAAGCAATAGAAATGTTAAAACGAAGTAAACTGGATATAAACTCCCCAAACAGGCGAAAAACCTACCAGTTTCACCCACTGTCTCTGCCACCTCCCTCCTATGCCTGGTTCCTCCGGTTGGCCTATCCCCTGTCGTGCCTTGGCAGTCTCAGAAGAACCGGGTGATTTGCTACCGTAATTTCTCGTTTGGAAAATGAGGAAATGAACTGCGGTCTGGCTCTCCCAGCTTGCACGCGGTTTGATTTGTTACTATGGCTAGCGCTTGTACTCTCAGATTTGCATAAAGGGGATTTGATTGGCTGACGCTTCCAGCTCAGCTTCAAAAGTTGAACATTGCTCAACTTTTGAATCCTCAAAATCCTGTAAATCCTATAAAACTTCGCTTCGCTTCCCCACAATGCAGTTCGGCGAAAAGCGAGGCAAAGATTTTTTTTAAGCTGCTGTGTGGACGTACCGTTAGGGAACGAATGGTTTAGCCCATGGACTCGCTCCAGCACACAAGAGGACTACAAGATACTGATTTTTGTGTCTGTCAACCAACGTCAGTTTTCAGTAGTTACACAACATAAACACTGCCATATTGTTTAGTATAGGGACAGGGCTGTTTCTTTAAAAGAGGCCCCAGCCACATCAGTACCAAGTGAGAGAGTTTTTTCCACAGCTTCTGGAAATGTGGACATGCTCATCTTCCTGAACAAAAACCTGTCTGATGAGTGAGAGTGAGTTAGTGAGAGTGGAGTTGAGTTACTTGAAATTTATTTTAATTTTATTGCAGGGTCTGATTATTGAATTTCCTTGTTTATTTGCACAAAGAAAATGTCTACTTTGTTAGTACTAGTATGTAAAAAAAATACTGGTTTGTTCTTGTTCCAATCTGTTACTGTCACTTTGTTTTTGACACGTTAAATGTACTACTAAACTAAAATGCTGTACAAATCAGATGTATTATTTAATAAAGAAAAAAAGTGTTAAGTATTTTCTTTTGTCAATATCATGATAAATACCGCACCGTGGACTTGTTATCGCGATATTATCGTACCGTGAGTATTTGATACGTTACATCCCAACTACATAATACCCCTCCGATTGCGCGTTCACGTGGAGGGTCCGCCACATTAAGTGCTGTTCCAAACCAACAAGTGTTGAGGGGTAGTGGTTATCAAGCCCTCCAGCAGCGATTCTGCATCGCACCTGACTTCACCTGCTCTCTACCTGAGCGACTCAACGCTGTGTGTGTCCGTCATGAAACATGCTGCATACAAATAGATCCTGCAAACATTAACTGATAAACTGCACAACAAGATAGACATTTCATATCGTCATACAGATTTAAACAAGTTCACGTTACCTTGTATTGTTTTTAACTCAGGACCATATACCCGTGTTTAGTTTAGAAAACGTTAATTGTGTGCATTTTATTATTAGCAGGGACAGTTGCGAAAACAAAGCAGCATATAAACAACAGATTTTAAAACCAAAAGTGGTATATAAAAAAGAAACAACATTAAAGATGTTTTGAGTTTAATTATTTTATTTTGAATTGAGATGCTGATTTGAAACCGTTGTTACGAAAATGTACTGCGTTTCCTGTTTCTGCCAGAGAGAGGGGAGTTCGTCCCAAAGGTTGCTGCTGTTTTTAGAAGCTCCACCTGGAAGAAGTGAGCCTCGTTAAACTGCGAGTGTGACTACGGCCCAATCCCAAACCACGCCCTACACCCTACCCCTACACACTCCTCCGTGACGGAATGAACTCCGTGGAATGACACTCGATTAGTATTAAGCCCTTTCCTTAAATGTAACAACTCACCCTATACTCTTAACAAAATATTTTGATATAACAGGGTGTCCTTTTGTCTCCACCATTAGACCTCAGGGTTGTTCAAACACTCACACACAAGACTGCTTGTTTTCAAGTTTAGCTTAGAAAATATATTACTTTACAATAGCAGCTAAAGCAGGCAGCTAGGGCTAGAGGAAGCATTTTCTCTCAATAAAACTGATAAGATTATGTAGTAATGAAGTGGAAGAATCTATTTAGTGCAGACCTGAACATGACAGAGGAGAACGGTAAGAAGGGGGATTAATGTCTTTACAAGTCCCAGTTTACCCCTTTACTCTTATCAATGTTTTTGAGATAACAGTGTCTCCCCCACACAAAACACATGCAACACACAGACACAAAAAACACGCGCACAAACACAAGAAAAACCACACACACAAACACAATCTGTGACTCTAAATGGCAGTTTGTGATTTTTAGGCAGTGAAACTAGGCAGTTTTTTTTGTATACATTTATAGATTACCTTCACTAAGGTACTGAAAGATACACTATGTATGTATGCAAATCATTAAAAGTGGAAAAAACAAGTTTTTCGGGCTGCTAAATTGGGATCGCGGAGAAATGCTCTCCGCAGACCCATGCTCACAGCGTTATAAACCTTTTCTTACTCAATATCAAGCCACACTTATTGTTTTTACTTCGGCTGTGAGTGTTTGTGTGCTCAGGATGAGTTTAGCTTGTTCTCGCTGTATCGCCAACCCGGAAACCTGTCCGCTCCTCGCAGCAGCAACGAGCCTCGCAACGTCCCGACCAATCAGAGCACAGTGGGCTCAACTTCGCACAACACACTCCCCGCTACACACAATCCCACTGGTCCACAGGCGTGACACGCTGACCCCCGTGTGTGCGAAAATAAATAACAGGCGGCAGGGTGTGTAACTCTGATACAGGCGTAAACTCACTATCAGCGCGTTCTTTCCGGCCTACCAAGCGACTGTCGCCAGTGGCGGGAAATTAATAATATAACAGTTTGCCGTAGTACATTCAAGCGCTGTCGCTGTTGTCTCCAGGGGTTCGGGGGGGGGGGGGCAACTGTCAAGTTGCTCGCGCAGGTATCACAGAGGGAAGGTGGGTGGTGGGGCAGGTGGGTCATTTTTGTAGGGGTGTTGTGGTGACCACTCATCATGTGCGTTGTACCTAATTTTGCACACAAAAAAAAATGGTGTTACAACCCCCTTATAATTACCTATTTTACGTGCCTAATAATAATAATAATAATAATAATAATATAATTAATAAGGGTGAGGCTAGCCTGTGATCCAGGTTTGGCAAAGGGGCGTCGCTCCGAGGGGGGCAACTGTCAAATGCACCCGACCGACCCACGTCACCGCCTGACCGGTAGCCCTTGCTTAGGCTACCCGGCCATGACTTCACCCGGCCACCATATTCAGTGATCGTGTAGGGGGTGAGGGGGCAACTGTTAAATGATCACCATGGCCTTCACCCGGGCCAGCTTCAGGGCCCGACTAAAAATCAGGGTCAGGTGTTGACGATGTACTTGGGCATACTAGCGGAGTATAAACTGCGTGCGATTAAGAGATTTGAGATTGTCTATGGTTTTATTTGGCTAGAAGTCGGAGTATATCGAGAGTCTGTGCAAGTGTTAATTTGACAGTAGCGACAGACTCGAACGACGACACACCGGTAGCACCGCAAATGTACGTCTACGACCCTAGGACTTGCACGTCCGACCTCGCGACACGGGCGTAACTGCAGGTGGGTATTAAACCGCCCTGAACTATCTTAGGGGCTCTTCTAGGTCCTTACCAGCTAGTAACTTCCCGTCTAATTACCAGTAGTTTCATGTTTATAGGTTTTAGTTCAAGGTCATTTGCCAAAAGTTCCCTTTATAAATGATTAACTCTACCCAAAAACCTAACTACCCCCTTTTTAACACAGTGTCCGAGAAATTTCCGGGTACGTACCGGTAAAGATGCTAGTATTTAGGTACAACTCCATAATGATTTTATCTTAAATGTGGCCCACGTTTAAAAGGGGGTTTGGGTTTAACCAAAGAGGTATTTCGTAGAGACATTTCATACAACATTAACGTGGGCCATAAGTCGGGAAACAGGGATTTGGCCGAACAACCTTCGAGGACGGGGGG